GCCTTACTAGTAGTAACAAGAAGCTACTAGTAACAGGTGCATCGCTACTAGTAACAAGTGCCTTACTAGTAGTAACAATGTTTGCTATTAGAAACAAGAAGCTTTAATTAGAATTAAATGCAAAAGAATCCATGTTCAGGTCTAGTAGCGTCCTTGTTACTACTAGTAAGGCACTTGTTACTAGAAGCGATGCACTTGTTCCTAATAGTGTCCTTGCTCCTAGTAGCGATGCCCTTTGTTACTAGTAGCTTCCTACCCCCCCCCCCCGCGCGCGCGCGCGGGAAAGGTCCTAGTAGATTTCTTTGCTAGTAATTAGAATTCTAATTAATTTCTTATTATTACTAGTAGTAAGGCACTTGTTTCTAATAGCTTCTTGTTACTACTAGTAAGGCACCTGTTACTAGTAGCGATGCCCTTTGTTACTAGTAGCTTCTAGGGGATTTGAAGAGGTTTTCAGTTGACAGTTCGAAATCATAGGTGTCCCGGCGATCCTGTCCGGCTCGCAGACTCCCTCAGACCGTCCAGCTTTGACTGAGAAATGACTGAGCTTTGTTCTTTCTTTGGGACCTTCAGACCTGGATAGAATTAAAGGACCGGATAACCCCACATATGAAGCTTTACGAATCTTAAGTGTCTAAAGCACAAAGCAGTCAGAGTCTCAATAGCTTCTACAACACGGCCTTGTCAGGAAGTGATATCAGCTTCCGACAACAGAGGGGTGGGAGAGAAGGTGTAAGAGAGTGATGTGCACGACGGATGTACGAGGTATTGTGCACACAGGTGTGCGCAGCCACAACTAGCCAACAACACCTGGATAGAAAAACTGAGAAAAGAAATGTCTGAATCACACTCCTGGACTCCGGCATGGTACTGCGAACCTGAGAGCCTCCGTGGCTCCTCAGCGAGTTGGCGGCCACAGTTGAAGGGAAAAAAGCAACACATAATAGCAATGGCCTCAAACCTGATAGCTTCTTGTTTCTAATAGCAAACATTGTTGCTACTAGTAAGGCACTTGTTACTAGAAGCGATGCACTTGTTACTACTAGCGAGGGAAAAAACAGGTAGAGGATGGTAGAGGTTCCCATAAAAGCGAACGCCGAAAGAAACGAAGAAGCGGATTTAACCGCAACTTGCTCTCTAGTAGGGGGTAGTCCAAGATCGGCCTCTTAAAGGTTTCAGAATTTAGCCCTGAAGAATAAAGAAGACAAACACACACAGTAGGAGCAAGAAGCTACTAGGAGCAAAGGGCATCGCTACTAGCAAGGACCCTAATAGGGGCTCGGCCTTACTACTAGTAACAAGAAGCTACTATAAACAAGCCGTTTTGAATCCTCTTAGTTTGGACTGAGCGTGGGAACTTCGAAACTGACGAACTGAGCATGACACATCGGCTCAGCTACTGTCGGCGCATATTTTCGAGCCAAACTGCCCAAGGACAGACCATCCAAAGTGCTCACGTGGACAGACCATCCAAAGCAAATGCATTAGCCATAGGTTACGAACATGCCTCAGTGATTGCTCTACAGAAGCTTATCTGCTCTCAGAATTCTCAGGTTCATCAAAGCGTTTTCTTCTGAACAAATGGGATGCGCTATGTGGCATCGAAGACTTTGGTGCTGACCTGAGGCTTGGTCTCCAGCCATCGCTGGGCTAGAAATTAACGTGAGCTATCCTGCGTCCAAGGTAGTAGCTACTTTCAGGTACTAGCTACCACTTCTGCTAGCTACCTACCGCCTAGCTACTACCTACCTTTCAACACATAAAAACAGAATCTTTCGGCGCCTTAGACTGGCTAGTAGTAACAAGTGCCTTACTAGTAGTAACAAGAAGCTATTAGGAACAAGTGCATCGCTAGTAGTAACAAGTGCCACGCACTAGTAGCACATCGACTCTTTGAAATTTGCCTCGACCAAACTGCGCTTCGCTTCTTGGGCAATGAGATCCAGGCCCTTCACTCGTAGAGCTTGCTAATGATCTCAGCGCTTTTCGACATTTCTATACTTATTTATTGCTAATGATCTCATCTAATTTTCTACTTCTTTTTCTTAAATATTTCTATTTTCTATTTCTTCATCCTCGCTTTTATACGTTCATTTTGCCGAGGTGCGAAGACCACGCCGGCAGCCACGAGGAAGCTGCCGATGGAGAAAGTCACCATGAAAATTCGTGCTTGATCTTCCCTCCGTGGCGGGACACGATTTCGTCTCTTCAAGGTGACACAGTTTTGCGCTACAAGAGAGGCACTTGGAGGGTCTGCTCAACTGATTTGGGTGCTTGAAGTGCCAAACTGCCAAAGCTTTGTGGGTATCGAAAGCTGAAGTCTTGCTGAAACTACTCACTTACTCTTGTGTTAAACATGTGTTTGAACCTTTTTGCTTTAACACGAGCTATGTTCAGCCTTGAAAATTTGGACGCACTGGCACTTGGCGGTCTTCGTTTGAAGGCTGTCGAATTTCTATCTGAATGACGACAAAGCAAAACCCACTGAAACCGCCAGTGGGCATCGCTACTAGGGACAAAGGGCATCGCTACTAGGAGCAAAGAAGCTACTAGGGGCTCCTGGCCTTACTACTAGGAGCAATGTTTGCTATTAGAAACAATAAGAAGCTATACAATTAGAATTAAGTGTGGTCAGCACCCCTTACAGGAACGAAGACTTTCCTTTTACCGCCGCTTTCAGGCGCTTTCCTCACAAAGAGCCTTTCGAATGAGTGTGCAGATCTTTTGCCTTTTGACAAACAAGAAAAATAACTTCCTTGCTTCCTTCCTTCTTCCTTCCTTCCTTCCTTTCTTTCTTCATTCCAACAATGCTTTCGCCCTGTCAATCCTTCAAGCCTTTCTGTGCTACACCCTACAGCTGAAAGTTTGACAGTCTTTAAAGTTAGTTTTCTTGTCCAAAGAGTTGGTCAAGATGTGAAGATGAAAGCGATAGAATTTTCATCTTCATGGTTAACATTTTTCAAAAAAACACGTAGTGCCCCGAATCCACTCCTGACATCGTAGCTGCCCGGTTCCGCAGCGAAGGCCTCAGTCGAGGCAACTTGCGGAAGCAACCTCCCACCTACTAGCGATGGCCTCCTTTTTATGCGCACAATGCGAACAATTATGTTTGCAACTGTATCCCTGTATCATTTGCTTCTTAAGCTTGCGGACAAATCCCGCCGACAAATCTTCTTTCTCTTTGCACCTTTAAGTCATTCGTTTGCCTTTTCTTGTCCTTCTTACTTCCTTTAGGTGCAAACTTCGTTGAGGCTTGTCGGTCTTGGGTGCGAGCGTGTCCGTGGTGTGGTCACGCGTGGTCATGGGGTGACATGGCAGTTTAGGAGTGGAGAGCGGAGTGCACAAAGGAAACCCTGAGTGATACCACGGGTCAGGTCGCGCTCGAGAACATGTGATTAAGCAGTAGCGAAGGTGCATCGCTACTAGTAACAAGAAGCTACTAGGTGAAGGCCATCGCTATTGGGTTGGAGGCCATCGCTAGTAGTAACAAGAAGCTACATCATCTCTGAAGTCATCCCACCTAAACTCCGCTTAGGAAGCAACTTCCTCTTCGTTTTTGGCTAGTGGAGGAAAAACAGTGCCAACAAGTCCGTGCATTTTCATGGTATGCACAAAACTCCACGTTTTTGTTCACCTTTCCTTGGTAGAGGTAATGACCTTTTAATATGCTACAGGATTGCTTCGCTTGAATTGAAGTACGACGGCTCACGTTCTTTTCCGTTGTGCTTGGATTTTCGTTCACCTTGCTGCAAGGATTGTGCTCTCGTCCTTGTCCTTCGAGTTGCGCTGCAGTTTTAACGTTCTCTGGAACTGAGAAGAACCTTCGAACATGTAAGCCATTAGGAGCAAGGGCATCGCTACTAGGGGCTCCTGGCATTACGAGTGGCCTTCGACAGTGTTGGAGAGCCATCACGGGAGACCAACCCGAAGGCCTTCCGAACGAAGTGTCTTCGACCTCCTTGCTTACTGAAGTAGAGGAATCGCAGGAAAAGGTCCGAAGAATGTCTAAAGAAAACGTCACAAAGAACTCAGTGACTGCAGTTGTAAGTGGTAGGAGATCCAGTGACTGCACTGATTCTTCTGGGCTTCCCTTACTGGTTCGGCCATCAGTGCGAATGCTGCGGATAGCGCGGCGGATTTCACTGCAGCTGGGGTCACCCTCAGCGCATCTTGGAGTGGAAAAGCGTGGGTGCAATTCATCAACTAAGAATGCATATTTTCAGAGGAGCTCTTGCAAGAACTCTTACTACTAGTAGCAAGACGCTACTAGTAACAACCTTTTCAGACCTTCTTTCACTAAGATCTCAGCTGCTTGGCCATCTCAGGTTGAAGCAACTGCAAAGCTTCCTGAGAAGAAAATGACACCTTGGAGGCCATCGCTATTAGGTTGGAGGCCATTGCTATTAGGTAGTTAGCTATTAGCTCCTTTAGCTTCAAAGTATCCTGAGAAGAACATGTAGCAATTCCAGTCGAGTTCAATAAGAAGGACAGCTGCGCCTTGCTTGCAACAGCCGTCGATTGGTGGATGCTGGGCCTCGAAGTGGCAGTTTCCAAAGTCTAAATGCAAAGACAATCGGACACTTTCCGACATTTTCAAGCTTTCTCGGGCCTTACAACATCACTACTCTTTCTTGCCACAGATTGGAGGCTATTTTAAGGCCAAGACCCACACCTTTCACCACCTTTTTCTGGAAGAAGACACAAGAAACACATGAACAAAGCTGGAGACCCCAATAGCAAGATACAAACCGGGACAAAAAGAAAAATCTGGGAACAGCTGCTGTTTTCAACACATCGACCATCTCTTCCACCATCATCACATAACCGGGACACCATCACAAAATGACCAGGGCACCATCAAAACATGACCGGGACACTATCACAACATGACCGGGACACCGTCACAACATAAGCGAGACACCATCACAACATGACTGGGACACCGTTACAACATGACTGGGACACAATCACAACATGACCGGGACACCATCACAACATGACCAGGACACCATCAAAACATGACCGGGACACCGTCACAACATAAGCGAGACACCATCACAACATGACTGGGACACCGTCACAACATGACTGGGACACAATCACAACATGACCCGGACGCCATCAAAACATGACCGGGACACCATCCGCCCACCAGCTCTGACGGTGACCCGACGGCGCCCGTCCGCCTATTAGTTTTGCAAGACCCCATAGCATGGCTATTGGGGAACAAGAAAGGACACACACACACAACAAAGCAAAGGAATGATAACAGAAAGACACAAAACTCATCATGAAACAAGAACGCTACTAGGAACAAGTGCATCGCTACTAGTAACAAGTGCCTTACAAGTAGTAACAAGAAGCTAGTAGAAACAATAAGCTACTAGCTTCTTGTTACTACTAGTAAGGCACCTGTTACTACTAGCGTGGCACTTGTTACTACTAGCTTCTTGTTCCAACTCTCTCCCCCTTCGTGACTTCGTGACACATCGGCTCCCAACGTCATGGGGCGCGGCGCTGAGACAAAGCTCGGGCACATCACCTGGAGGCTATTCGACAGCATTACTGTTGCTAGGATGAAGCGGAACAACTAAACCAAAAGACAACACAACAAAGAAACATGTTACTAATAGCGATGCACTTTTTCATGTACAACAAATGCATGCTCAAGTTGTGATAGGAATTTAGATTTGTTTATGACTCTACGATTTCTTCTGAATTCTTCGGACACTCAAACAAGACTGACATTACATTTGGAGGGGAAGCCATCGCTATTAGGTTGGAGGCCATGGCTATTAGGTTCCTTTTGCTACTAGGTTGGAGGCCACTGCTTGTTTCCCACACCTTGACGGCACAAAGCAGCAAAGCCACACAGGCGAAGCCAAAGACAGGTCGGGCCATGGTGCTGGATGTTGCGCAGCCGGCCGTCTGGGTCTGCTTGAAGTCGGCTGGCGAGAGCAGTTGAGCATGCAATGAAAGTGAACACAAGAACACACACACAGAGAGCACCACAAAGGTAACTTTGATTTGAAAGCACTCAAAAAGTAGAAAACTCAAAGGGAGAGTAAGTGCAGGTCTGATCGCCCGAGTTGATATTAAATGTAGTTTGTGGCTGGCCCTCATCCTCGAGAAATTTACAAAGCTCCTTTTGTCAGCTGACATTGTGAGACAAATCCGCCATCAGCTGCTTCACCACCTCACACTCGCACTAGTAGGAACAAGGACGCTACTAGGGGCTCCTGGCCTTACTAGGAGCGTTGGGCTTCGCTACTAGTAGCTTTCGTTCGCTAACAGATCGGATATCCTCTCGGTCCTCCCTTCGTCTCAACCTGTCGCCCTCTGGGCCCCAGGGCGGTGAGATGGGCGGCAAAGAAGCCAAGATGTGCTTCGCATGGGTGTCACTGAAGGACTGCACAAACGATGTCCCGTTCCCCGAAGATCTAGAAACAAGTGCATCGCTAGTAGTAACAGGTGCCTTACTAGTAGTAACAAGAAGCTATTAGGAACAAATAGCAATGGCCTCCACCCTACTAGCTTCAGAATGACAGTTCTTCAAGGCTTCGCTTCTCCCACGGGTTCCGGGATTTGAACGGAAAAAGAACCAATTCGGATACTCCGCGTGGATGCCCGGCACATTTGGATCAAGACTCGCTTTGAGAATGTCCTTACCTGCGACAACATGCCACCAACCCTGCAACCAACAATGATCTTGCTGTAATTTCGGCAGACTGGGAAGAAGCAGATTGGCATTGGAGATTGGACATCCAACACCGAGATGTTCCTGAGATTGCTGGGATTGATCAATCTCTGACATCTTGTCTAACAAAAGCCTTCGCCAAGCTACCACCAAACCAACTAACATATCAACAGATTGTGAAAGATTCCGGCACTCTTATCTTGCTTGTTGTGCTCTTCGAGTGTTTGACTTGTAATTATGTATCGATCTTACTTTTTATTCTTGATTGTAAAGAGCAACAACTCATTTTGTCAAGGAACACTTAGGTTGCAACCGTGCGCAACAAAAACATACTGCGTAATTTCCTTCGTTCCAAAAAAAGGCTGATGCACGAAGATACTTTCAGATCTGTGCGATGCTCAGGCCGCGTGCAGAGCATTCTCTGCACTTCCCGAAGCTTCATCATACGATCTCTATCTCCAAGAACGCTACTAGGGGCTCCTGGCCATACTACTAGGAACAAGAAGCTACTAGGGGCTTCTGGCATCGCTACTAGGAGCAAGGACGCTACTAGGCTCCTGCCTGGCTTGGCCGAATCCCCTGCTTGGCAGATTGATGCAGGCCTGAGGGTCAGGGATGGGCAAAGATCAGTTCTCAGGGCATTGAAGAACAAGTCCGGAAAAACATCTCCCTAAACATCAGGCAAATTCAACATCTGCAACTCACGAAGGAACATCAGGCACTGATGACCCCATCTTGATTGCAACCACTAGTTCTGCTCTTTGTGCCTTTCTTTTTCGATAAGCTTCTTCCACCTACTAGCAATGGCCTTCAACTTAATAGCGATGGCCTCCAACCTACTTTTTGAAACATCTGAGGCCAAAACAGGGAAGGCTTCCTGACCTCGATACACCTCAAGGTGTCCCAGGGCTTCGCAGCTCTCCGAGGGCAGTCCGCAGTTGTCAAATCTGCTTGGCTACTTATCCACAAAGCACTTGCACTACTAGATACTAACAAGGGCATCGCTACTAGTAGCTTCTTGTTACTAGTAGTAATGCCCTTGTTACTAGTAAGTAGCGATGCACTTGCTACTAGTGGCTAGAAGCTACTAGTAACTACAAAGTAGAAAGTATCCGCCTCTTGTCATTTGTGGAGGTACCAGCTTGAATCAATATCTTTGCTGAACCACCACTTGAACAATGCACCAAGAGGACAACGGGAGTGGAGCACACACCGAAACTCTGCAGAACCACCGTTCTACAACGAAACACTCTTGTTGACTGCGTCACTGCTGAGCTTACATTTCTTCTCAAGCGCCTTTCAGGCCGTTGTTCGGAGCAAAAACAGTTGGACGCTTTCAATAAAAGAGCCAATTGCTCTATGGAAGTCCCGGAACCAACTGTTTCAACTAACTCATGGATGCCTCTCTTTGAACCTTTCTCTGAAGCTCTAGACTCCTCCGAACTCGACCCCGACTCGAACAAACTCCCCAGCCTTGGGCGTGAGTGAAAGCGTTATGTTCATACTCAGCTCTGCTGGTCCTGGTTCAGAAGACTCCATCATTTGCCTCCCCAGCCTCCAACCTCCTAGTAGCGTCCTTGCTCCTAGTAGCGATGCCAGGAGCCCCTAGTAGCTACTTGTTCCTAGTAGTATGGCCAGGAGCCCCTAGTAGCGTCCTTGCTCCTACTAGCGATGGATTTTTCAACTTGGCCATGTCACGTCGCTACTTTGAAATCAGAAGCTGCAAAACATGTCCTTCAACTCTGTTTCACACGGCTCATGATGCACAGCAACTTTGGCTGCTTTGAAGTTCTCCGAAGCATCTGTTGGTCAAAGCGATCGCCATGAAGCTAGAAGCTTTACAGGTCACTAAGTGTCACTGTGAAGCACTTGAGCGGCAAGTCTTTACAAAGCCGCAAGCGACAAATCGTGACACGATTTAACCTTTCACTTCACCAGCGCTGCAGGAAGGTCTTTGAGGCTTTTCAGCACGACGGTGGGTCCCCGAGCATTGGGCCATGGATCAAACACGCTTTCCTTTGTTCTCTGTACCCAGAAGGTTGTCCATCCACAAGCTGCGCTGCCAATGATGTCGAAGGGGTTGCTGGAGACGAGGCATGTATTTGCAGGTGTAGAGTCAGTGCAACTGTTGAAATATTCATAGGACTTGGGATCTGGCTTGAAAGTCTTTGGCACCGGCATATCGTCTACAACCACAATGCCATCAAAGCATCCCTCCAGGCCAGCATGTGCAATGAGACTCTCGACGTCGGATTTGGTGCCATTGGAAAAAGCGAAGAGCTTGTGCCCCTCTTGTTTCAAGGTTTCTAGAGCTTCTTTGCACTCCGGAAAGGCATCCAACTTCTTGTAGCCTTCCAGCAGGACAGCCTTTTCCCCTTTTGTGAGGGGCGTCTCTAGCATCTCACAGCAATAATCCAAAGCTTGGCTGGTGCAACAATAAAATGGCTCGTATTCACCCATGAGCCCCTTCCGGAAAGAGTACTCCAGCTGCTTGTCTCGCCAAAGCTGTGCAAATCGGGGTGCTTTCTCTCCTACCGTTGGGAGAGCTTGAAGCGCCTCGCCAACGCTCTTGACGTTGAAGACTGTGCCGTACATGTCGAAAGCCAAAGTCCAGGTGCCAGCCATGGAGGACTCAAACAAATGGCCTCCAACCCAAGAGCAATGGCCTCCAACCTAGTAGCGCCAAGCCCCGCTGCTTTTAATAGGAGCCAACACAGGACCAAAAGGAGCCAAAAGCTGGCCATATTCATGAAAAGAAAGGAAGAAGGACAAGTCTGAAGGTCAAGAGAAAAAAGCGAGAAGAAAGACACAGACCAAAGAGATGCCAACAAAGGTCTACAACCGAAAGAGCTTTAGACAAATAACTCTTGGACTCCACCACTTGCTGACAAGAACTCCACTTTTGACTTTAGGTCCTTGGTCTTCATTTTGCGTTACTTTCGTTGTTGTCTTCCAACAATACCTCTTACTTTCTTGACGCTCTATCACATTCCGTATGGCATCCCGATTTTGTACCTTTCCGTTGTTTCTCTTGAAACCTCTACTATTGTTGACTTTTCTATGCGCATGCGTAAGCAAGTGCGGTTGGCCCGTGGCCTCCGAAAATGCATCTCCCGTCCTAAAGAGTGTGACCCGCATGGCTGCGAAGTCATGACCCCATTGTCGGCACATTTGATACCTGCCATGCGACAGCCTTGCGGAAGCATACAAGCAATATGCAAGCAATGTAGCACGTGCCAAGCTCTTTCGGCATCCTTTCTTATTGCACCCCGCTCAGACTTTGGGTAATTGGACATACAATCACATCAACCAAAATGAATGAACTGTGAATCTGCTGGAGCACGTGGGCGCATTGTTCATTTCACCTCCAGGATGACCGCGCACATATCCAAAGGCTTGAAATTTGGCGTTCCTCCAGCTGCTTTCAACATCAAGTAGACTTCAACGATGTTTGTGCGGCTTGCAAATTAAATGAGAATAGAGCAAAGATGTTTTCTTCGCAAAGAAAGAACGACCAGCAGAATGCCTTTTGCGCATCAAATTAGCAGAATGCCTTTTGCAAACGCACCACCCGGCCTATTCCCATAATTGTAGCTGGAGAGAGGCCTGCAAAAGAGGCTCAGAGTGAGGTTGAGGCGGTTGAGGAATATTTGTGATGTGTCACCTGTTGTGCCTTTTCCCTTCGAATGGGAACCACTGCCCCCTGTTGTTGTTCTTCATTCCGATGGTACACCTGCTGTTCGATGATCCGATGAGAGCACTCCATGGCAGTCAGTAGCATCCTTGTAACTGGGAACACTCGCCCGCTCATTGTAGTGAGCAGTGAGAAGTAAGTACTCGAGTCCAAGACACGAACCTCAGAGTTGGAGGCCATCCTTACTAGGATGGAGCCGTCGCTACTAAGTGTGTTCCTGCCACTGGCAACCTTCCTATATAAGTAGCAATAAGACCAGTAAGAGTTGCAAGGAACAAATACAAAACGGACAAACATGAATAACAAAAACACAACGAACAACACAACAATTCTTTCTTAAAAGTAGACATGGAACCACCTAAGTTTGACTGTCATACTGCCCATCCAACCCTGCCTGTGGTGCTGACCTTCTCCCCCCAACAGCCCGCCGAAATTCCCCGGCATGGCCGGTCCGGCACCGGATCCGCTCAAACGGCGAAGCGGGCGTGGAGAAAAGGAGCAGAGTCGATCTACACGAAAACCGAAGAGAAAAAAGAACACAAAACCTGTAAGCCAGTAGTAACAAGTGCCTTACTAGTAGTAACAAGAAGCAAAATACATTAATAGCTTCTTGTTACTACTAGTAAGGCACTTGTTACTACTAGTAAGGCACCTGCAAGCCGTGAAGCTACTTTCGTAGCTGGCCTGACTACGAACAAGAAGTTACTAGTAACAAAGGGCATCGCTACGAACGGAGCGATCGGACGCTGCTACTAGCGATGGCCTTCCTAATTGCGATAGCAAACAAAAACATACGAAGAACTTGGAAGTTGGATGAAAGGAGCATCGATGCAGAGAGAAAGGAGGCAGTCAATGTTTATTGTTACTAATAGCGTGGCACTTGTTCCTAGTAGCTTCTTGTTACTACTAGTAAGGCACCTGTTACTACTAGCGATGCACTTGTTTCCAATAGCTTCTTGTTACTACTAGTAAGGCACTTGTTACTAGAAGCGATGCACTTGTTACTAATGGAAGGAAACGAGATTTTGTAAAGCAAAATAATTCAACCAAACAGTGTTTGTTCGATTTTTCAGCTGCTTTTCCTGTCTGGTTTCTATGCCCAATTTGACAACAATGCAATTGTGTCCACCTGAGTGCCAAGTGCTTTTCCGGATTTTGCTTTGCGCTCGTTCCTCGATCGAATCCAAGCAAAAAGACGTGCAGCTACGTTCCGTCGCAGGGGTGATCAGTCCCATAACAAGGATCTGGCTATTAGAAATGCAATAAACGAGCCAGTGCAAAAACTAGCAACAAACCTCTCTAGATGTTGAAGACCTTTTCGTCGGAAAAAACATTAGGTTGGAAAGCGCGTCGCCTTCTCAGATGCGTTCTGCAACAGCATCTGTGGCCAATTGCCAAAAGGCTGCTTTGCTGACGCTTTCCGTTTGCACTGGATCAAGTGATACGAGGCGGCCTGAGCCATCTCAAAAGAGAAAGCCTGACATGAAGTAAGCAAAACAAACCACGGCCACGATCCAATACTTTGGGAAAGCCTGGAACTGTTCATACTGATTTTCGACTTTTGACGGACTTTGGACATGATCAGGGCGCAAAGCACGCTGACAGTCCGCCAGAAACTTGTCACAGTCCTCAGCATCTCGTCAAACTCCGAGACAGTCTCTGACCAAACTCTTTCTCTTGACTTTTCCTGTTTCTGCTACTAACAACAATGCTACTAGAAACAAGTGCATCGCTACTAGCAACAAGTGCCTTACTAGTAGTAACAAGAAGCTACTAGGAACAAGTGCATCGCTAGTAGTAACAAGGGTATGTCGTAGTCTGCGTATGTCGTGGACTTAACTTCCCCTCAATGCTAACAGCAAGAACGTGGGGTTGCTATCTGGTTGACAAGCCATTACCATGAGTTGTCTTGCATAATTTTCCCTTAGCAAGAAGCTACTAGGAACAAAGGGCATCGTTACTAGGAGCAAGGACGCTACTAGGGGCTCCTGGCCTTACTAGTAGAAACAAGGAAGCTACTAGGAGCAAGTGGCATATTTGGAGACCTTGGGACTGGCACTCTGCCATCCGTCCTGCTCTGACGTTTGCCTTGTTCGTACTCAAGACCGACTCGAGTGCAAAAGCAACACCGAGTGACAAAGGCAAGGGTCATAGACTGAAAGTGTAGATCAAACAAGATCTGAACTTAGCCTTCAACAACCAACAATTGGGATCTTGGCATCTTCCCGCCTTCCTAGTAACGTAGCGATGGCCTCCGTTGATTTGATGCTTGTATGCGTATGCCTCTAGTTACTAGTAGCATCCTTGCTCCTAGTAGCGATGCCTTTTGTTGCTAGTAGCTTCTTGTTACTTCTTGTTACTAGTAGTAAGGCGCTCCCCTAGTAGCGTCCTTGCTCCTACAAAGAAGGCGCCGGTTTTTTCTCGAAGGCTCCTCCCGGCTCCAGGTCTCTCCCAGAATGTCGAAGTCCACCGTGCCCCCGTAGGTGATTGGGAGCTGATCCGCCTCGGTCAGACATGTCAAACGTTGTAATTTTACATTTAATTCTAATAGCTTCTTGTTACTACTAGTAAGGCACCTGTTACTACTAGCGAGGCACTTGTTACTAGTAGTAATGCTATTTTAGTTTTAATGTATTTATTGTTTCAAATAGCTTCTTGAAGGCTTCTTGTTACTAGTAGCGATGCCCATTGCTCCTAGGTCCTAGTAGCGTCTTTGCTCCTAGTCATAACATGTCATTGATTTTTGTTGTTTTGTCCTACTTTCTTTTTCAAGCGTTTTTGTTGGACTGCATGCTCCACTTGCCAAGGCACATCGATGTGTTCCAGCAACTTATGTTGGAAGTTGCTACCTAAGACTTGGATCTTCGAGGCTGTCACCGGATCCAGCCAGGACTGAATGAGCCGGTAGAACCTGAAGCGTGATTGCTCGCAATTTCGCTGTGCCTTGCTGCCAAATGTGCAATCAAAGGCACGCCACGAAGAAGACCGGTGCGTTGACAATGAAGAGCACGGCCAATGACTCGGGATAATAGCCTCGAAAAAAGCCAAGGTGAAGACAAACAGGCAAAATCTTGAGCAGGCCAGCAATTCAACAGTGGCAACTGTTGATGATGAAGAAAACATCTTCCCTAAAAATCCAGGAACCAACATGAATAGTGCGTGAGCATGCGTGAGCTTTCCTGCATTCAGTTACTAGGAGTTACTTAGTAGTATAGTAGCTAGTAGCGAACTTCTTCCTAGCCGTGGCCTCCACCAATGGCCTCCAACCTAGTAGTTACTAGGAGCTATTAGTAACAAGTGCCACGCTAGTAGTAACAAGTGCCTTACTAGTAGTAACAATGTTTGCTATTTAAATTTAATTCTAATAGCAAACATTGTTACTACTAGTAAGGCACTTGTTACTGCCAGCGTGGCACTTGTTTCTAGGAGCGATGCCCTTGTTCCTAGTAGCTTCTTGTTCCTAAAATGCTCTCCGAGAGGCGAGAACTGATAAAGAGGAAGTCCTTGAAAGTGGCGACGGCCTGGCGAACGGACGCTTTGCGAAAGTGAACCTAGTAACAATAAGAATTGTAATTAGTAGCTTCTTGTTACTACCAGTAAGGCACTTGTTACTAGTAGCGTGGCACTTGTTCCCATTAGCTTCCTACTAATCTTTGGACCTTCCTTTTGCTTCTAGGTTGGATGTCTTTAGACCTTCCTTTCTTCCTTTTCTTTTGCTTATTCTCTTCCTCCCTGGGCACAAACCCTTTACTGCTTTGCTTGGCTCAGCTTTTTTGCCGAACTCCCTTTACGGCCAAAACACTTTAAGGCTAACAAGGTGCATCGCTACTAGTAGACACAATTATCAACTTTTTAAAGAAAGCTTTAGAAAGCTTCCAGCGGGTTTGCCTGAGGATGTGGACGTAGAGGCATGCCCGCCGCATTGGTGATGACCACCTCGACGTACCCAAGAAACGATTGCATTCGACCATCGTATTACTAGTGGTTTTACATGGTGTAGGGTTGTGAAATTCAAGAGCATTGACAAGGGTTGTGAAATCAGTTTAACAACGCTGTTTCCAAGGCAGGTCAATTGACAACTTGCATTGCAAGCAGTTGCTCCGACCTGCTTGGTAATGGGCCGCCCCAAACGACGGGAAGACTCTTCCATGCGAGCCGCCTGGCAATGCTGGTTGGGTCGTTCACAATGGAACTAGTAACAGGTGCCTTACTAGTAGTAACAAAAAGCTATCAGAATTAAATCACAATTAAATCAAATTAACTAATAGCTTCTTGTTACTACTAGTAAGGCACTTGTTGGGTTCTTGTTCAAAGAACTTGGCCCCAGCTTGACACCGCTTTCTTCTACCTCGCTATTAGGTTGGAGGCCATCGCTCTTGGAGTTGGACCCTTCAGGTTGTAAGGGGTCCTGAACAATGTTTGCTATTAGAATTAAATTTAAATCGCAAACGTTGTTACTACTAGTAAGGCACTTGTTACTACTAGCGTGGCACTTGTTCCTAGTAGCGTTCTGAGCGCTAACAAAAAGAGAGAGAGACCGCTCCAATTGACATTTGGTTTCTCGCGGTACTGACCATCTCGAAGATTCCTCTGTTTCGAACCAAATGACTAGTGCGAACGTGAGGAATCCTGCGTCCAGTTAGTAGGAGGTAACTTAGCCCTGAATTAAGCAGGCGCCTACTTAATTGAGTAGTAGGGGGGCAGCGCGGCCTCTAAACAGTTCTGAAGACGGCGCCCCCAAGTACAATACTCTCGGACTGGCAGAATCATAGCAGAAACAGCAAGGAATACAACACCAAATAGCGAAGGCCTCCAACCTAGTAGCTTCTTGCTACTAGTAGTAAGGCCAGGAGCCCCTAGTAGCGTCCTTGCTCCTAGTAGCGATGCTCTTTGCTCCTAGTAGCTTCCAACCTAATAATTAGGGAGGAATACTTAAAGTCATAAAAGGTCCATAATATGTGCTCCATGCTTAGGGTATCTGATACGAAACTCCCCTTCCCGCCTGAAGCTCCTGAAATCGGATCAAACTCTTGACCACTTTTTCTCGCCCGCCAACCTGGAGCAACGAACCCACCTGACTACCTACCTGGAGCAGCATGTCGAAGCATCTTGAGTCAAGAGGCATGTCGAAGAAGCTCTGCAAATCTCCAGCCAGCCAATCCACCATTTTGGATCTGAATTGGCTGTCCTTTCCTTAGTGCTTTCACAAGCATCGCGGCAAAATTCCAACAAATGTCCCCAAAACATTTTCACCAGGCACAAAAAACATCGGGCTGCTGGGTTGGTAGCGACACTTTTAGCAAACGCCGCTACACTCTTGCTACACAGTCTGTGACAGGATGAGGATGCGAATGCCACCCCGAAAAATATAGAGCAGCGATTTCAGTGCCACACATATTGGACACATCCAATGTCGGCCGCATCTGTCGTTTCGTTTGACACTGTGGCTGAGCTTCTTGTCAAAGCCGAACGCGAGGGCCTGTCCAAAGTACACGTGTGCGCCTTCATCCGGCCAATTCTCCACCAACCTCCGGGGTGGCGCAAACTCCGGAACTGAGCGGACGCTATGAACGGGGCTCCTGGCCTTACTACTAGGAACAGTGGACGCTACTAGGAACAAGTGCATCGCTAGTAGTAACAAGTGCCTTACTAGTAGTAACAAGAAGCTAGTAGAAACAAGAAGCTAAGAATTTAGAATTTAATTCTAATTGAAATATCCCGGCAAAGAGACCCCAAACAGTGTATCATAGTGTATCTAAAGGTCTAAGGTCTAGAGGTCGTACGAACCTCTAGTGTTACCACACTGTTTGGGTCATATTGTAGATGTGACATGACTTCATGGCGGAGACATGATGAGTCATGGGTTCGTTCGTGCTTCTTTCTTCACTCATGAGGACATTCTATTTGCCTCTAATTAACTAATAGCTTCTTGTTACTACTAGTAAGGCACTTGTTACTAGAAGCGAGGCACTTGTTACTACTAGCTTCTTATTACTACCTTTTGCTCGTGCATTCCGTGCATTTCCATTTCCTTTTGCTACCTTTTCTGCACCAAAACTGTCACTCCTTGCTACTCGTGAGGAGCGCTGCACGGGAGCCTTAGTTGGGGGAACATTTCAATGTTGTCGCGGCTGAGGCGTGGATCCTGACAGATCGCTTGGCATCCTGTAGAAAGCCATTGATAGGAACGAAAGCTAGGGAGAACGGAGAGGTCCAGTCTTTGTCAAAACGAAAAGCAAGAAAAAGAAAGAACAGTAGTAACAATGTTCGCTACTAGTTACAAGTGCATCGCTTCTAGTAACAAGTGCCTTACTAGTAGTAACAAGAAGCTAGTAGAAACAATAAGCTACTAGGTCTAAAAAGGGTCCTTGGAAATAAGAAGACTTGAGGCCAACCGTGGATCCCCAAAGCTGGTTGCTGGTCCTCGGCCGCATCAGCTGCTGCATCTGGACCCGTTGGCCCCGGGGCATTGCGTCGCCAGCGTTCCACTTGGTTTGTCTTCCGCCAAATCTGCATGGCCTGACGCTCGGAGGAAACAAAACCTCCTAGGAGTAAGGCCAGGAGCCCCTAGTAGTGAACAAAACCTACCAGCGCACCATAAGAAATAACATCCAGAGATTTAGTTACCGCCAACAAGATGACTCAGAAGGACTTAAGCGCCTTAAACATTTTGGACCACACAAGAACAACTGGGCTACGCACGTGGAACTGCTCGACGGCTGCAGGCACATGCCACTTCCGGGCCACCAAGAAACGAAGCAAATCTTTGTCTTCGACGGGCCTGGAAATGCCACACGACGCTACGCACGAGTTCAACGGTCGGATTGACCTTTCTTCAGCTTTGAAATGATTTCAATTAGTAACAAAGGGCCTCGCTACTCGGAGCAAGGACGCTACTAGGGGCTCCTGGCCTTACTACTAGGAACAAGGAAGCTACTAGGTTGGAGGCCATCGCTATTGGAAGAGTCTCAGAGTCTGCCCGATCCCATGAATAGGGACTTATTAAGTGTCGCGAGTTATCTCCTGAAATTACCAAGCCCTTTGATACGCTGAGACCTAATCTCAAAGCTCCCCACCATAGGATCTCCGGAGCAGCGGAACTTGGATTCGGGCCCCACTTGTGATCTCATCTCCAGCAGCGCGTCATACTGCCAGTGGAGCAGATCCTCATCAAAGCTACTATGCCCTCCTTAGGTAGTTTCTTGTTCCTAGTAGCGATGCCCTTTGCTCCTAGTAGCTTCTTGTTCCTAGTAGTAAGGCCAGGAGCCCCTAGTAGCGTCCTTGCTCCTAGTAGTACGGCCAGGAGGCAACCTGAAATCCTACATCCCTTCTTTCCACTACTGCAAAGCTCCCCTGGAATGGTTATGTTGGCGACAAGGACGGGAGCGAGCGTGGCTTGTCCAAAGCATGGTGCTTGTGCATGATCGAAACCTCCAACTGAAGCGTCTAAAATCTGTTTCAGTCGTTTCATCTCTAGCAACTCGTAGCACCCGGAACTCAAACTTTTTAAAAATTCCTTTGCTAATTTGAATTTTAATTAAACTAGTAAGAATGCTACTAGTAACAAGTGCCTTACTAGTAGTAACAAGAAGCTATTAGAATTAAATCAAGCTTCTTGTTACTAGTAGTAAGGCCCTTGCTCCTAGTAGCGATGCCAGGAGCCCCTAGTAGCGTCCTTGCTCCTAAAGTAGCACCCGGAACTCAAACTTTTTAAAATTCCTTACCCTACTTTGGACTGTGACCTTTGGTACTAAATAAACATGCTTCTTGCGGCCTAAGTTTGGAAGTGCCTTTGATGCCCCTTCGAACGGCTCACCAGCTCCTGCTCCGTAGGGCTGGCTTTGAATTCAAGCTCGGGATCCTTGGCGGCTCGGGGACAGGGTACCTTAGTCCTATTCATTGTCTTTCTTCCCCTTTACTTCCTAGTGCTAATATTTACTTCTAGCCATGGCCTCCAACCTAATAGCGACCTAGTGTGAATATTACTTCTTGCTAATTTGCCTTGCTTCAAGGTAGTCAGGCCTTCCGTCATCTAAACCCTTTCTCTTTGTCTTCCATCTTTAGACCTGTTCTTCTTTTTTTTTCAAACCGAGCAGGTCCGAGCTTCCCGAGCATCGTCCCGCCCTCCGCAGAAATCGAGAAATCCGTAGCATGGCATCGCAGTCCGTTCTTTCGGGGTCCGTCGGAGCCGTGCGTCGAACGCGTGCAAAGCCGAAGAGGTCTTTTGTTCGCTACTAGTAGTAACAAGTGCATCGCTAGTAGTAACAAGTGCCTTACTAGTAGAAACAATGTTCGCTTCTAGGGGCTCCTGGCATTAGGAACAAGGTTGCTACTAATAGCGATGGCCTCCAAACATGGGTCACAGCAAAGAAAGGAACATCTGGGTCTTGGGATCTAGTTCTGTTCGCGGTGGGTCTGGCCTGGGTCTTGGGCTGAAAGTGGCCCATCTGAGCTCAGCTGCGTTCTTTGGCGTTTGGTGCATGAGAGAAATCTTTGGGCCAAACAGCGGAATGACAAGACCTGGCGATGGCCTCCAACCGAAGAGCGATGGCCTCCACCTAGCAGCTTCTAATTACTAGAAAGCTTCTTGTTGCTAGTAGCAATGATGGCCTCTTCAGGTTTTTGTGTTGTGGGGATTCGTTCGATCAACGCTAGCGCGTTCGATCCACTCAAATTACATTTAATTCTAATTAAATTATAGCTTCTTGTTACTACTAGTAAGGCACTTGTTACTAGTAGCGATGC